AAAAAAATTTCACTCTAAATTTTGTAGAATTCACTATATTGTTTTTATTCCTATGGTGCGACTTGTAATGTCAAAAAAATGCAGATTTCTATATCCATGCACACTATTAACATAAAGGCCCACATTGGGCAGCAGATCATTGATAATTATTTTCCCAACTCAAGTGCAGAACCTTAAACTCTACAAAGTCAAGATCAGCTGCGATGTTACCACAACCTCACTATTGTAAGAATTAAAGGATTATGTGATATACAGTATGGGAAAAATCCTATTTAAGTGCGTATTATATAAACGGTGCTCAATACATTTTATTTATGTAGATGAAATATTTAGGTAAACTTTTTGTTTTTATTTTTTAAATATTTATGTAAAAATATTTATCTTTGCATTAAGCACAATAGGTAAAATAAAACCAACAAAACTTTGGGTAATATCAAGAACTTGGCTTTAATGAAAAGCCCACCTCTATTTAAACTCTTATTTACTTTTTCTTTCTTACTCTTCTCTCCACACGCCCCACTCCTACCACCCCCGTGGTTCTAATATCATTTGAGCAATCACCCATTATATAACGTCCTCGATTGTTTTGCAATGATTTCCCCTACTTCTGCCCCAGTTTCTCAAGGGCAGCAAGTGTATAATGACACTTACGTGCCATCCTGTGCTGAATGACTGACTCACCCCAACAACTCTTTGAGGCGTTTTTTATCCTCATTTTATAGGTGAGGAAATGGGTCGTAAAGGGCCCAGGTAGCCTGTCCAAGTTCACACAAACTGGGAAAACTGAGCCTTCAACCCAGGCACATCACCCACTCTTATTCGCTGCAAAATTGTTGTGTCCAGACTAGCACAATTCTTGTACAGGATGAACACTTGGTAAATGTTTATGGGATGATTGTTGTGCAAAAGACAATGGAAAGGTTAGACTATAGCTGTTTATTCTGTTTACTTGAAGGTTTCCTGGGGTGAGTGAATCGTGATGCGTGCAGGCTCTGAGGTCAGACGCCCTGGGCTAGAATCTCCGCTGTGTGAACCTGAGCTGGTCAACTTCAGCTCCCCTGACTCAGTTCCCTTC